TGGAATATGTTCTTGAAACATCTTCCTGGTAATTCTCATGTACTCACTCCGCTTTGCCTTTGAACACCACTACTCCCATCTGCTTCCTGAATAGCTGCCTCCGAAAGCTAACTACTCCCAAAGCTTATTTCCCACTGAGAACTCAACTCCAAACCGTTATTTCAGACCGCCTATCAGATGTTTCGGAGCCCAGGTGGCACAGTGGTTAAGAGCTTGGCTGCTAACCGAAAGGTTGGCAGTTTGAACCCACCAGCTGTTCCTTGGAAGCCCTATGGGGCAGTTCTACTCTGTCCTATAGGGTCGCTATGAGTCGGAATCGACTTGATGGCAACAGGTTTGGTTTTGGTATCAGACGTCTCTAGGAGCCCTGGTGGTAGAAGAGTTAAGCGCTTGGCCCACCCATGGCTCTGTGGGAGAAAGACCTGGCAGTCTGCTCCTGTAAAGTTTACAGCCTAGAGAACCCTATGGGACAGTTCTACTCTGTCACATGGGGTTGCTACGAGTTGGAATCGACTCTAGCACCCAGCAACATCAGACGTCTCTACTTGGATAGTCTGCAGGCATCCAGAACTCACCATGTCTCAGACTGAACCGATGCCCTCAATGTCCACTTCACACTTGGAGTCTCAGCCAAATTTCTGCCTCTTCTGTGAAAGCTTGTCTGACCTCCCACGGCCTTAGCAGCCCTTCCTGGGCTCTTGCTGCTCCGTGGAAATGCCCTCACGATGGCAACGATTATGAGGCATTTCATTTGCTTACCCTCCTCTTCTGTTGCCTTGAACTCCTAGAGGCCTATTTGTTTTCCTACCTCTAGTGCCCAGCCCCATGCTTGGCACATAATGGTCACTCAATAAATGGCCATGAATGTAAATGAGCCAGCAGGCAGATGGGCCTGAGTTGGCCATAGTGCTGCCTAGGCTTCCAAGTCATGGGGATTCCTGCATAAGGATTGAAGTTTTCCTTCAGCAAGAACTCACAGTTCCCTGAAACTGTCAAAGAAGCCAGATAACCCTGGCATTTCTTGCAACTCTAAATTATGATACAGTTAACATTCTATGAGGGGACTTCACTGCTGCAATTTAAAAGGGGGGGCCTGGTGGCGAAGTGGTTAAGTGCTGGGCTGCTAACCAAAAGGTTGGCAGTTCGAATCCACCAGCCACCCCGTGGAAACCCTATGGAGCAGTTCTGCTCTGTCCTGTAGGGTCGCTATGAGTCAGAATCGACATAACAGCAATGAGTTGGAACATGGTAATAGTTGCAATTAAATTTGATTCCACTAGGTGCCGCTGTTGTCTGCCACCAAAGATGATGGCAGAGTTGCTGGTCCGTGCTTTGTTCCCTTGAGGTCATTTAGTCCGTCCATCTTCATTTTGACCTCTTGCACACTTCCCCAACAGCTACCAGGTGGTTTCACTGTCTTTTCAGTAATAAAAAAATAAAGCATGATGTGCTATAAGAATACTTAAGAAGGTGTGTTTATTAAAAAGGAGTGCCATCACAGTGACCAGATACCATTCTCCTATGTGCTCCCCAGGTGTTCGATTTTGTGTCAAGAACAAGGCTACATTTCCCATTTAGGGGAATGCAACCAATCTTTCTATTCACCCACCAACCATGCAAATAGCCTATTCTCCAGTTTCTTTTAGTCTCTAGCTGTTTTGTCTCCTGAACTAATTACAGTTTATTTTCCATCCCTTTCCCTGATCATCCAATTTAATGCTCTTCTCAGAGCCGTCCTCTGAGGGGAATCACCCAGAAACAAGTGAGGTGAATAAACTCCCCATCCACCTTTATCCAGAAAGAGAAGGAAAACAAACACTTGCTCATTGAGTCCCTATTCTGTGCCAGGCACTGGAGGGCGCATTTCATCTACATGGTCTCATTTCATTCCTGTGTGGTGGTATTGCTGCCCCCATTTCCTGTAGGAGGAAAGTGAAGTTTACAGGTGTTAAGTAAATTGCCGAAGATGATTTAGTGGATGCAGGAGCTGAAATCTGAGCCCAGTTCCACCTGGCTCGAGGAACCATTCTCTCAGGAATGCTTAATAATGGCAACAGGCAAATTTACTTGGTTTGCGAAAGGTAAGGTGAGTTTTTTAGGACTCAACAAACCACACTGCATAATCTTCTTGAAGAACCTTTTTTCTCTTATTTTTTAAAATAATTTTATTTAGTTTGTTGTTGTTAAGAATATATACAGCAAAACATACACCAATCCAACAGTTTCTCCATGTACCATTCAGTGACTTTGATTACATTCTTCAAGTTGCGCAACCATTCTCACCCTCCTTTTCTGAGTTGTTCCTCCCCCATTGACATAAACTCACTGCCCTGTAAGGTTCCTATCTAATCTTTCGAGTTGCTGTTGTCAATTTGATCCCACGTAGATAGTTCTTAAAAGAGCATAATGCTCAAGTCAGACATTTTTACTAGTTAAGCTATTGTTCAGTTTTAAGAAGACTTCAGGGGGATATTTTTGGTTTAAGGTTTAAAGATTATCTCAGCACACTAGTTCCAGGGGGTCATCCAAACTTCATGGCTCCAGGATGTCTGGAGTTCGTGAGAATTTGAAATTCTGTTGTCCATTTACCCTCTTTTGATCAAGATTCTTCTATGTAATTTTTGATCAAAGTGTTCAGTAATGGTAGCTGGGCACCATCCAGTTCTTCTGGTCTCATACGAAAGGAGGTGTTCTCCTAGTTTTGTAAGTGAATAAACTCATTGATGCTACTGATCCTTACATTTCATCATTTTCTGAATGAGAGGATTTACTAAATTATCTTGTTGAAAATGAATAAATGGGTTTAGATATTTGCTCAAAAGGTCAGTCCCTTTAAAAAGGCAAGAAATGATGTAGAAGAACATTGTCTGAGGAGCTCAAGCTCCTTATGATGCTCAGCGGTGCCCTGTCCAGCCTTTGCCCCTGTGAGAGGCGGCACTCAGACATAGTATGAGAACCCAGCAGTCTTCAGGGCCCACCTCCTCGCTAAGGCCTGTGCTCTCCTCCTACTCCCAGATAGTTCTCTTATGCGCAGGAACATGATCTGATGAACAAAATCACAGTAAGATGCCAAGGACTCAGGGGTTACCTTTTTCTGAAGAGTTTGCATTTTAAGAAGAGACTAATGAACTCAGGGAGCCCTGCTGGCGCAAGAGTTAAGCCCTCAGCTCGGAAAGGTTGGCGGTTTGAAGTTACTCAGTGGCTCAGTGGGAGAAAGACCTTGTGATCTGCTTCTGTAGATTATACCCAAGAAAATCCCATGGAGCAGTTCTACTTTGCCACATGGGATCACTGTGAGTTGAAATCGACTTGAAGGCACCCAGCAACAGTGCACTCAGAAAGATGAGGAAAGATTCAGGGTAGAATTGTAGGTTGGTGGCCCAGGGCAGGGGAGCCTCTGCCAGCGCCTCCCTGCCCCCTGGGATGACCTGTCCTCTGCCTAAGGCTGACCTACCTACTAGAGGGGTGTTGTGCTTCCCCGGTGCTTGGCTAACAGTTCCCCAGTCACCCCTTAGAGCCGGAAGTCTCACTGTAGGGGGAGGAGTCTGAGTTGGAGTGGACTTCTTCCTTCTGTAGGAGATCAGCTTGCACAGCCATCCTGTAGCTGTGTTCCATTTGCCTGATAATAGACTGAGGGTGGGAGGACATGGGCAAGATGTCTTTCAAAGCAGTGCTGGTGAGGTCTTTGGATGCTGTGACCTTTGATGCATAGTGTGGGTGTGACCTTTGCCCCATTTCATTTCCTGGGACTCTGCCTCTGCCACCCGGCCAGCTCCAGCTGTGCCAGGACCCAGATGGCAGCCCTTCTCCCACGGCAGGTGTTGCAAACTGTCTGCTGTCAGAATCCAGCAAGCTGTGAGGTCTGCACAACGTTGCCTGCACTGTGTTGTGCTATTACTTTTCTTACAAACTTAAGAGAAAACGAAACTTTAAAAATACAGTTTTATCAAAAGTGGGGAAATAAAGGGCTGAAAATGACAGTTTAAAAATGGGAGAGGGCAAATTTTTTTTGTAGGGACAAGAATTTTATACCTGGCCAGTTTTCCTCAGCTCCTAAAGGAAGCAGAGCTTGTGACCCTAATGCAGAGGATTAGGGAGTTCCTTCTAAAGCTCCAAGCAGATGTTTTTCTGTGGGGACTTGGACCAAAAGGAAAGATAGGATCTGCATTTTCCTGCTACGTCCTCAGACCTGAACATGTCATAGATTGAATTGTGGCCCCCACAAAACATATGTTGAAGTCCTAACCCCTGGTACTTGTGAACGCGACCTTATCTGGAAATAAGTCTTTGAAGATGTTATCAGCTAAATTAACAAGAGGCCATACCGGAGTAGTGCGTGTCCTAATCCGAACTGAATTGAGTCGTGTCCTTATAGGAGAAGAGACACAGACGCCGCGTGAAGAGGCATACACACGCCAAGGAACACCTGGGGCTACCAGAAACTAGGAGAGACAAGAAAGGATCTTTCCCTAAAGCCTTTGGAGAGAGCATGGCCCTTTCGGCATGCTGAATTTGGACTTCTAGCCTCCAGGACTGTTAGACAATAAATTTCTGTTGCTTAAACTCACCCACTTTGTGGTGCCCTCGGAAACTAATACAGCATCTGAACCCACTACCCCAACAACCGCCTGTCACTTTGGCTCCTCCAAAGTCTGCTAACTCAAGAGTGACGGGGGAAAGGCTAAGTACACCAAGTGTGATAGCCCCTTTAACAAAAACGAGGCCCAGGGACAAACCTGGTCAGATGGTTCACTACGGAAGCATTGGAGTGTGTAAGTTGACGGTGGGGATTTCAGGATGCTGGGGGTGTGGGTTGTTCTTTTCTTTCCTTGTTCATTTTCCAGCAGCAAACATACAATTGTAGTAAAACAAAAAGGATAAAGTATTTGAAAAACAGAAGTGACCAAATTATATAGCTTTTCTTTTTGTGCCAATTCGGAAGGAAAACATTCTGTAGATATTTAGAAAAAAAGACTTTAGAGGCAAACTTTTGAGGGGCGTTTTTTATTATAAATTTAATATGGTTGATTAATGAAAAATCACAATGAAGTACCGATAAAATGTTTGTCAATATAAAAATTTTAGCAGCATTTCCATAGTTTCAGGCTCTAACATTAGTCATCCTTTCTCCCCCCACTATCAAAAAAGAAGAGCATCCAATGGGACTACAGTAGAGTATCAAGATGTTCAGCTTAGTAAAGGCCTCAAAGAAATCCTCAAATCCAGTGTATTTTCCAGTATTTCAACCCCATCCCTGAATTTCTAGAATGTCAACGCATATGAAAAGCCTCACTCACTTGCTTCAATGTTTGAGGCAAGAATTCTGCTCTTTGGGCTGCAGGAGAGGACAGGGATGCACATTTCAACTGGACTTGATATGTAGTGCTTAATCACACACCCTAAGTTTGCACAGCCTCCGCATTGCTGACAGATGGGAGTCCAGCGCAGGTTTGCCAATACCTGGTGTGTGGCGGCAGGGGTGGGTGGTGCTGGGGGTTGGGGGACCCAAAGCGTGGCATGAACATGACGGGTCAGGTGCCTTGGATCCTACACATTCCTCTGGGGCAGGTTAAAACACGGCTGGTGTGACTACCTCCTAGGTTAGCGGTAGTGATTTATGACAAGGGGAGATAAACAATTTGAAAATATAATACTGGCAAACTATTCCCCTGCTTCTTTGGTGCTTTCTAAAATTCTCTGATCAAAAAAGTGTAAGGGAAGCACACCATTAAAAAATTACAGTTTTAAGTATTTACAGAAGCAATTATGATACATTACACAATAATCAATACACAGTATATGAACAAATTTTTCAATGAAAGCACTTGTGAACTTCTGTTCCAGTATTATTCGATACCACACTGACCTCCATACACCTTCCCAAATTTGTCTCATACATCCTGCATCTCATTTACCTTACAGTATATTAAGTGGGAAAAATAGTCATTTGGAAAATAAAATCATTTCCCAATCTATACTTTCCTTTTATAAAGGTTCTTAAAAATTGCCACTGAAATCATTATGTACAAAAATGTATTGAATATTTCATTTTAGGCAATGACCTCCACTCCATTTTGAATATGTTTGAAATAATGCTACCTAGTCTATGTATACAATATATATTTAACATATAAGTAACTGCACCACGTTATATCACCACGACACCAGTTTAATACACATTATTATGTACAGTCGTTAAGTTAGTTCTGGAAGATGAATCTCTGCAGCCTAGGTGAACAGTGTCATGGAACCATCTGAAAGGGTATGTGGGTGCTGGTTGGGAGACAGGACGTGTGTGCATGTGTGTGCGTGTGTGTGATATGTGGGACACACCTCCCATGCATACCCACACCAGACCATCCCTTTACCGGCTCACTGGGTGGAAGAAGACCAGTCACACATACGGAAGGACCCCATACATGAGAAGAGCCATGATAGCAGCACTGAATAACCCAGCCACGGGCACAGTCACAAACCAGGCCACAAAGATGTTCCGGAAGAGGCGCCAGTCCACGGCCTTGCGGGAGCGGATCCAGCCCACAGCCACCACCGAGCCCACCTGTGAAGCACAAACGTTTCAAAGTAAAAACAGAGGCCCACATCTTAAAGGTGAGACACAAAATCTACATTCAACCAACGTGAACTGGCTAATCTCAGAAGTAAATGACACGGTTAAATTACCATTTCTTTCCCCTAAATTTTCTCAAAGCTTCTAAAATAGTTCAGTTTTTAGGTATACTTATTTTAGGATCATTGTGTCAGCATACAGTTATGATGCACCTGTCCCACCTATATTCCGATCTACTTGAATGAAACATAAGCCAATTAAATGATTTCCATTCTCTCTGTACGTTATAAACCAACCATGAACGTCCTTGTTTTAAATATTCCCCACAGAGGATATTGCTTACTACAATACGTGAACCTGCTTTAATTACAAAATGAAATGGCAATAATGTATCCTTCTCTTAGAATAAAAGAATCATAAAATGTTGGAGCTGGAGAAGACCTTTGAGAACATCTCATCCAATTCACTCACTTTTCAGAGCATGAGACAGGACCATATTGGAGGTCCTAAGAGCTGGAGGAGATAGTACAGCTCAGTGGTAGATTGAGAACTAGAACTCAGGCCTCTTGATTTTAGATTGGTTTTTCTCCACTATCTCACACTGCCTTCCAATCCTTGTACTTTAGCTAATTAAAATGGAGCACAAATAACAAATATGATGAGATCTAGACTGTCAATCATGCCTACAAAATGAGTTATACTTTGAAAATCAGAATTTTAAACTGAATTCAAGTATTTTTCTAAACTCTTACGGTTCATTTTCTGATTTGTTGAAATTTTTTAAAAAAAAAAAGACCCTGAAAGTATCCTTCTTCTTGTTGTTAGGTGCCATCAAGTAAGTCAGTTCTGACTGATAGTGACCCCATGCAAAACAGAATGAAACCCTGCCCAGTCCTGTGTCATCCTCATAATCATTGTCATGCCTGAGCCTGCTGTCGCAGCCACTGTGTCAATCCATCTTGTTGAGGGTTTCCCTCTTTTTTGCTGACCCTCTACTTTACCAAGCATGACATCCTTCTCCAGGGACTGGTCCCTCCTGATTACATGTCCAAAGTATGTGACACGAAGTCTCACCATTCTCGCTTCTAAGGAGCATTCTTGCTGTACTTCCTCCAAGACAGATTTGTTCGTTCTTCTGCAGTCATGGTATATTCAATATTCTCCACCAACACCATAATTCAAAGGCATCAATTCTTCTTTGGTCTTCCTTATTCATTGTCCAGCTTTTCTATGCCGATTAGGTGACTGAAAACACCACAGCCTGGGTCAGGCACGCCTTAGTCCTCAAAGTGACATCTTTGCTCTTCAACACTTTAAAGAGGTCTTTTGCAGTAGATTTGCCCCAGTGCAATATATCATTTGATTTCTTGACTGCTGCTTCCATGGATGTTGATTGTGGATCCAAGTAAAATGAAATCCTTGATAACTTCAATCTTTTATCCGTTTATCATGATGTTGCTTACTGGTCCAGCTGTGAGGATTTTTGTTTTCTTTATGTTGAGGTGCAATCCATACTGAAGGCTGGTTTTTGATCTTCATCAGTAAGTACTTCAAGTCCTCTTCACTTTCAGCAAGCAATCCTGTGTCATCTGCATATTGCAGGTTGTGAATGAGTCCTTCCATCAATCCTGATGCCGTGTTCTTCTTCATATAGCCCAGCTTCTTGGATTATTTGCTCAGCATACAGACTGAATAAGCATGGTGAAAGGATACAACCCCTGACGCACACCTTTGCTGACTTTAAACCACAAAGTATCCCCTTGTTCTGTTCAAACGACTGCCTCTTGGTCTATCTATAGGTTCCTCATGAGCACAATTAAGTGAAAAGTTATAAAATGGAAATAAAAAGCTATAAAATGGAAAAATCATAAGGAAATACAGCGCCCACAACATCTCATGCCTCAGAGTTGACTGGTGGAGCCTAAAGAGAGATTCATGGGGTGCCCTTGGTCACATGCATGGTGGATTTTGAAGATTTTCATAAAATATACTTCATCTCTACTGATCCTCAAAAATTTAAGAATTAGCAGTAGCCAATGAGGTTCAAAAGGAGCCCTAGTGGCACAGTGGTTAAGCGTTCCACTGCTAACTGAAAGGTTGGTGGCTTGAACCCATCAGTGCTGGAGAAAGATGTGACAGTCTGCTTCCGTAAAGATTTACAGCCTTGGAAAACCTATGGGGTAGTTCTACTCTGTCCTATAGGGTCGCTATGAGTCGGAATCAACTTGATGGTAATGGGTTTGTTTGTTTGTTTTTTTAATTGTACTCTAGATGAAGGTTTACAGAGCAAATTAGTTTCTCATTAAACAATTAGTATACATCGTGTTTTGTGACATTGGTTGCCAACCCCACGACATGTCAATACTCTCCCTTCTCAACCTTGGGTTCCCCATTACCAGTTTTCCTGCCCCCTCCTGCCTTGTCATCATTGCCCCTGAGCTGGTGTGCCCATTTAGTCTCGTTTTGTTTTACACTCCTGTCTAATCTTTGGCTGAAGGGTGAATCTCAGGAGTGACTTCATTACTAAGCTATAAGGGTGTCTGGGAGCCATACTCTCAAGGTTTCTCCAGTCTCTGTCAGACCAGTAAGTCTGGTCTTTTTTTGTGAGATAGAATTTTGTTCTACATTTTTCTCCAGCTCTGTCCGGGACCCTCTATTGTGACCCTTGTCAGAGCAGTCAGTGGTGGTAGCTGGGAACCATCTAGTTGTACTGGACTTGGTCTGGTGGAGGCTGTCTTTGGTTTTTTAATGAGGTTCAACCAGGAAAAGAGATTTAAAGCAATCAAGATCTAAATACAGAAAAATAAAATCCAGAATTTTAAATTTTATATGGAAGTGAACGAGGACCCCCAAAACAGCAGCACACTTAAAGGCAGTGAATCTGACATTTCATCTACCCAAGCTGCAATTAACCAGCACTTCTGGAGTCCCTCGGTAGTGCAAAATGTTAATGCACTCCGCTGCTAACCGAAAGGTGGGAGTTGGAGTCCACCCAGAGGCACCTCTGAAGAAAGGCCTGGAGATCTACTTCTAAAAAATTAGCCATTGAAAGCCCTATGGAGCACAGTTATACTCTGACACACATGGGGTTGCCATCAGTCAGAGTCGACTCAATGGCAACTGGTAGTGCCCATTTATCTCCAACATAACCAACAACCTGTATCACCCACCTTCTGAGTCATTAAAATGACTGTTGTTGTGTGCCATGGAGTCAATTTGGACTCACAGTGACCCTACAGGACAGAGTAGTTCTGCCCCATAGAGTTCAATTCTTTGTCTATCACCAGTGTACAGTATGAACCTGATAATCCAGTTTAGAAGTTCCTAGAACATGCCAGACAATCAAGTTTTTCTACATGCACATGGAGTAGTTAGGTTCTTTGGTCCTCAAACATAGCCAAATCCACAAACACTAGTTTCTAAGATTAAATTCTTCCTGTTACTCACTATCTCTCCAAAGCCACTTCCTTTTCTGTGCCCTTTCAGTTGCTTTCGATTACCTTAGGGAGAATGCTCTCAATTTTCAAGTTTAAGTTTGCGCTCTTCTTAATACATTTTTTTTTAAAAGCATAAAAGTAATATAATAATATTACAGCAAGTATATGTGATAGGAGAGGCGAACACTTATCCAGAACCTTACTATCACCATATTTATATATTCCTTTCTAGTAGTTTTTATAAGTATACCTATATTTGTAAATGTAGGATACACGATTTCCTTTCTTTAAAAAGTCAGCATTACATTACAAACATCTTCCTGCAGTGCTGCACAGCCTTTGTGATTATCATGTAAAACGGTACACCCTTTAGGTGAATGTACTCTAATTTACATCACCATTTACTTAACCATTTACTTAACTTGCTTAACCATTTCCAATTTGCTTCCAATTTTTCCCTGTTAGAAATAGTTTCGTGATTAATGTTCATTCATATAGCTTGTATTTAGGCTTTAAAAATTATTCCCAAAAATTGATTATTAATTAAAGGGGGTGTTTGAAAAATATCTTGAAATAATTTGAAAGTTAGAGAAAAGTTACATGAATAATACAGAGAACTCCCATATGCCCTTAGCCCAAATTTATCAATTTTTAAACATTTTGGCATAATCTATGAAGAAACATTTTAAGGCCATGCAAATACCCTGCTCCTCATCAGCTCCCTTCTCCCCATTAGCAATCCAATCTTTATTATGATGCCTGCAAAATGGTGATCTGCCAGCTCCCTTCTGGTGTATTAGGTGGAGCTTTACTTTGAGGAAGTACCCTCCCCGCTCTCCCAAGGCAGGCCATTTTTAGCCTCTTCACACAGATGCCAAAGAGCTTCACAGTTACCAACATACTATGTCCTCAGCACACACTGCACCAATCATGTAAGCTGCTCTTTTTCTCCTTTTTGCTAATTAATCTACAAGAAGATGCAACATCGCTGCTTTAATTTGCACATCTTTAATTATTACTAAGGCTGAATTTTCTCTTCTACATATTTACCCAATTTCACTCTCTCCAGTATTTACATATTTATTGGTTAAATTTTCTCAAAATACTCAGATATAATAGCAGGCTCTGTCAGTCATTTACTCTGTTCTTATACAAGTATGTACTTTTTAATTCTTGTTTCCTTATAACATACGTTCTATCTGGTAAGGCTAGTCCCTCCTCATCACTTTTCTTTTTAAATCATCTTATAGTCTTGTTCAATTTTTCTACCAAAATAATTCTAGTCTGTTTTTAAACTTCCATGAGATAGTTTTTCCACTGAACAATGCAGTGTGTCTCCTAATACAGTCGGTCAGGTTTTCTTTTATAGCTCTACGCAAAGTGTGGTGCTTTTGTTCATATACATCACTCGCATTTTTTATTAGGATTATTCTTAAATACCTTTTATTTTTGCTGCAATTATTGAGTTCTTTTTTTTTTTTTTTTAACAACACATCTTCTGACTGGCTATTCCTGACAAACAAGTAAGCTCTAGATTTTTGTATTTTTATCCTG